ATAGCCATGATACGTCTCTATGTCATGCGTGTCAACTGGGCAAGCATGTGCGCCTGCCCTTTGGCACGTCTTCTACCCGTAGCTCTTTTCCTTTTGAGTTGTTACATTGTGATTTGTGGACATCACCTGCCCCTAGTGTGTCTGGTTTTAAGTATTATCTTGTACTCTTAGATGACTATTCTCACTTTATATGGACATTTCCCATTCGTGCAAAGTCTGATGTTCATGCGTTGTTTGTCAACTTTCGACACTATGTATCTACTCATTTCTCCCTTCCTATTTGCTTTTTGCAGTGTGATAATGGTCGGGAGTTTGATAACTCTCGCAACCGCGCTTTCTTTCTTGCCCACGGCATTCTTCTCCGCTTTTCTTGTCCTTACACCTCACCTCGGAACGGCAAGGCCGAGCGCTCTCTTCGTACCATCAACGATATCATATGCACCCTCCTCATTCAATCTTCCATGCCCTCCTTCTATTGGGTCAAAGCACTACGTCATGCCACTTTTCTCCTCAACATACGTCCTACCAAGCTATGTCCCCGCTTCTCCCCCTACGAATCCCTCTTCCTGGCTTCGCCCGCATATCATGATCTCAGGGTCTTTGGCTGTCTTTGTTTGCCTAACATGGCTGCTACGTCCGAAAACAAACTGTCACCATGATCATTGCCTTGTGTTTTTCTTGGGTATTCTGATTCTCACAAGGGATATCGCTGCCTACACCTTCCCACCAGTCGCATCATCCTCTCCCGCCACGTTACATTCGATGAAACAACCTTCCCCTTTGCCAGTCATAACCAGCCAGACCACAGCGCTCCCATTTTCGGCGCCCGCGCTGCACCTCCACGTCTCGCCATGATCGACGTGCATGGCATGCATGGTCCTGTTCACCCGGACCCCATTCCCCCACCAACCAACCCCTCTCCACCCAATCCCACCGCCCCACTGCATGCCACTACACCAGCTGCACCCTACCCACCCACACAAGACAAAAACGTCGATGCTGCTCTCTTGGATCGCCCGCCAACCAGCCCGTGTGCCGATTCTCCCGGTCCCCCCACTACTCCCGACGCCACCTTTTCTCCAGATTCTCTGGGGCCCTCTTCTCCACCAATCTGCTCGCCTTCTTCAGATTCCCATGCACCACCACCCGACCGCTCATCTCCCTCTCCCACGTCTCCTTCTTCCTCTGCCCAATCTACACCACCTCTCTCGCAGCATTTGCCTCGCACTGTCGTCCCTGTTTCGATCCCACGTAATGATCACAACATGTGCACTCGTAGCAAATCCGGGTTCCGTCTTCCCGTCGATCGTCTCAACCTCACCGCCTCACCGGAGCCTCTCTCTCCCATTCCGCGTTCTTACAAAGCTGCTCTCCTCGATCCCCACTAGTTTCACGCAATGAAAGAAGAATACGACGCTCTTCTCCTTAACAACACTTGGTCACTTGTCCCTCGCCCCCCCTCCCCCCTGGTGCCAACATTGCCTCTGGAAAGTGAGTTTTTCACCATAAGTTTAACTCAGACGGCACTCTTTCTCGCTACAAGGCCCGTTGGGTGTGCCGTGGCGACTCTCAGCAGCCTGGGATCGATTTCGACGATACTTTCTCTCCTGTCGTCAAACCCAGTACCATTCGTGTCGTTTTGAGCCTAGTTGTCTCCTCTTCGTGGCCTATTCACTAGCTATACGTCAAAAACATTTTTTCCATGGTTCTCTTTCTGAAATTGTGTATTGTTGCCAACCTCTCGGGTTCTCTCACCCCTCTTTCCCTGATCATGTCTGTCACCTATAGAAGTCTCTGTACGGTCTCAAACAAGCGCCTCGGGCCTGGTTTCAATGCTTTGCCTCTTTCATTCAGAGCATTGGTTTTACTCTGTCGCGCTCGGATTCATCCTTATTCCTCTTTCACTCATCGGAGCACGTCGCCTATCTCCTTCTTTATGTTGACGACATAGTTCTTACTGCCTCCTCTGACTTTTTCTCGCTCATATTATCTCCTCCCTCCGCCAAGAATTATGTATGACGGCTCTCGGTCCTCTTCATCATTTTCTGGGTATTGCAGTCTCTCGCTCTTCTTCTGTGCTCCTTCTCTCTCATTGTCAGTATGTCCTTGAACTCCTCTCCAAGGCTGGCATGCTTGACTGCCACCTTGTCGCACACCAGCTGAAACAGGACCAAAACTTTCTTCTGACGGCGAACCACTCTCTGACCCCACTCTCTATCGCAGCATCACTAGAGCGCTTCAATACCTCACACTCACACGCCCGGATATCACCTACGCTGTCCAGCAAGCTTGCTTGTACATGCATGATCCACGCCTTCCGCATATGAGCCATGTCCGGCGTCTTTTACGCTACCTCAAAGGGACTCTTGATCATGGCCTCTCTATCACTCCTTCCCCCAACCACTCTCACAGCGTACTCTGATGTAGACTGGGCAGGATGTCCGGACACTCGTCGATCCACTTCGGGATACTGCGTGTACTTGGGTGATAACTTGATTTCATGGTCGTCCAAATGGCACCTTACTGTTTCTAGGTCGTCGGCGGAGGCTGAATACCGCTCGGTTGCCCATACTATCGCTGAAACAGTGTGGCTTCGTCAGCTTCTACACGAGCTTCACCGCCCTCTTCATCATGCAACAATTGTCTACTGTGACAATATATCTGCCGTGTACCTCTCATGTAATCCTGTGCAGCATCGTAGAACTAAGCATATCGAGATAGACATCCACTTTGTACGAGAGAAAGTAGCGTTAGGTGATGTTCGTGTTTTGCACGTTCCTACCAGCGCTCAATTTGCTGACATCTTCAACAAAGGCCTGCCGGCGGCACCCTTCATTGACATTCATGCCAGTCTCAACGTCGTCGAGCCCGCCGTTGACACTGAGGGGGGGTGTTAGACAGTGGACTTCGTAAGCACTGCATGCCCACAATCATTGCACGTTCCAACCCACGTTCTGGTCACAGCCGTGCTCGGCAACCTACATGTACTCCCCTTTGTACCTTTGTAATGCAATGAGAAAACCATTCCGATAGTTTTACAGTTGTAATCGGTTGCAGTCGGTCGCCGTGGTAGCACCCTGCCGCAACCATTCCAGCGAGTGGTGTCGTGGATGCAGCTTTCAAGAGTCACCATGGTAGCATCTGGTGAACACGGTTCCAACATTGTGGTGGCGCGTGGACGTAGCATCCGAGAGTTCACCTGTGGTAGCATCTGTGAGTCGTCGTGGTAACATCTACTGACCACGGTTCCAGCAATCCAACTCGCCGCTTCCAGCAAATAACCTCACCGCTTCGAGCACCTCTGCACGACTCCGTCGCTGCGCGCGGGTCACAACATCTCTGTGGACGGTTGTAGCATTTGTTGTCACCGGTTGTAGCAAATCTCCGGCAGTGGCCGTCGCCCCCGCGTGCTGATTGTAGCACAGCCGCATGTTGGTTGTAGCACCTCGGCACGGCGGTTCCAGCTTTTGCGTGCATGCGGTTACAGCACCCTCGCACCTCGTGTCGACGCTGGTCGTCTTGCACCTCGTCGGTCGCCGCTTGTAGCAGGAGCACGGTGCCGGCTCGTAGCACAAGCGGTGACTGCGCGCTCCGCGTCGTCCCCGCACACAAGAAAAGTGGTGAGAAACAGGGGAGGGCGCTCCCGCTAAAAAAAACAGCTCGACGGCCTTGCGCGAGGGGTAGACGCCACAGGAGACAGGATTAAGAGGAGAAAGGAAGAGGTGGGGATTCATGGAGTCGTTGCCACGGTCTGTGGAGAAGAGCACGAGCTGTTTCGGTGGAGAAGAAATCGATGAAGAAGAAAGGGGATAAGGTCCGTGTGCGGCCCGCCCCTGCATGTCGGTCACAAAAGGCGTGTGGGCTAGCGACAGAGGCGACCGGCGCATCGCTTCAGCCGGCCGTCCGGGGGAAACGTTTCCTGGCAAATTCGACAATTTTGACATGTAGATGAAATCATTTCACAAAATGAACTGTCCTTAAAAAATTCACTCAGCTGACCTTTTTAAGTGGCGCCCGACACAAAGGCGTCACACTACACTATGGAACGCCTGACTGACAGGCGCTGCACGCCTAGCCAATGCCGCACCCGAATGATCCAAAAATTACTAAGTCAGTGTGCAGCGCCTCAGAGCTAGGCGCCACACTATACAGTGTAGCGTCTAGCGTCTAGGCGTTGCACTAGTGGTTGCTCCATTTTATAATGCAACCACTAGTGTAACGCCTAGGGGCTAGGCGCTACACTGTATAGGGGCTAGGCGCTACACTGTATAGTGTGGCGCCTAGCTCTGAGGCGCTGCACATTAACTTAGTAATTTTTAGTCAGTCCGGGGTGCATTAGTCCGGGGTGCGACGCTGGCTAGGCATGTAGCACCTGTCAGTGAGGCGTTGCACATGGCGCCTTCATGTCGGACGCCACTCAAAAAGGTCAGCTGAGTAAAAAAAATTTATGGACAGTTCATTTTGTGAAATGATTTCATCCACAGGTCAAAATTGTCAAATTTGCCACGTTTCCCTATGTGTTATGTGCGTGTACTGTTTGATGTCGTTTGTGAGTTTTTTGGGGACTGAATGATGAACAGAAACAGAAAAACGAGCTCACCTAGATGGATCAAATGTTCAGTCCAACTTACTGCCTGGTTAAGGACATTTGTAGAAGCTGATGCCTGCGTTCCGGTCTGTTACATCTCGCTCTCCAAAAGTTTGCCTATACTCTAACTAGCACGCTCGGCACTACGAATCGCGACGCCACGGCACGGTAGCCGTCAATACGGTGCGTGCAGATGCCACTGCGTCCATGGATGCACTTCTCCTCATTTCAGTCCATATGTAGTCTATACTGAAATATCCAAAACATCTTATAATAGTAAAAACAGAGAATACAAAACATTATCTTCTTCTCACTCAGACATGGTACTCAGTTCCAACGCAAAATCAATAACTAGTGTGCCAACTAGACATGTATCCAGTGCAAGACCAAGTAATCCCAGTACACAACAACTTCATCGCACAATCGACCAAGTCACCTTCAGCGAGATGGATGCATGCTCAAGTATTATTTGTCGACAGGTGCATCCATGGATGTCTGCTTTGAAGCGGCAATGATGTTCCAGATCACCAATTTTTGATCCTTTCTGACCTATGTTGAACATCAAATGCATCCAACTAGCCTTGTCTACAGCAATCACATATCGTCTTGTTAAGCCACATGACTCGCCGATAATACCACAAAAGAGTTCAATCCCCTGATGTGACCCACCAACAAACACAAACGAACTCAGAGATAAACTGAATTCAGTCTGTACTTCTGATATAATAACATCTATAGTGGCCTCCACTGCACGGGGAATGAGGGCTAAAGTGATGTCAACCGCACCACAGTCGCCATTAATGTGATTTGTGATTGGACGGAGAGGTGTGGTGGTTAGTTCACAGTCTATTGCACCATCAATTAATTGTAGATCATCTTCTTCTCGCTCTCCTTTCCTGATCCTCATGTCAAACTCAACTAGAACAGGAGAGGTCATTGTGATCCCCCTCTTAGGGCCAGTCATCTCAATGAGAGAACCCTGCAAAACTATTATTAAATTGCTAGTCGCTCATAGTAGAAGGGGAGCCTTGGCGCAGTGGTAAAGCTGCTGCCTTGTGACCATGAGGTCATGGGTTCAAGTCCTGGAAACAGCCTCTTACAGAAATGTAGGGAAAGGCTGCGTACTATAGACCCAAAGTGGTCGGACCCTTCCCTGGACCCTGCGCAAGCGGGAGCTACATGCACCAGGTTGCCCTAGTCGCTCATAGTAAAAGTAAAGAATTGCCTAACAAGTATACTCTTCTTTCTAGCCAATTGACAAAGGATCTCATTTAAGTGATTGCATAGATTCTCAACCCACCTACAAACATAAGTTGGTTGCACATGAAACTTATAATATTTCATAAAGCACGCAAAGATAATCAACCATAAACTTGCCTAATATATAATATATGCAAGGATAACACCATCGTTCTAACATCCCCTCCAAGGCACATGTATTTGTACGCAAGAGCCATACAGATAAGATATTCAAACTGGAACCATCATCACCAAACCTCAAATGTTTATACTTTATACAAGTGAAGATAACATTTCACTTATAGTCACAACCAAACATAATGGATTTTGTAGTTCAGTCAGATAATTTGTGATAAGCACCACAGGTGCATTTGAGGAAACAAAAAGTATACGAATGGCCCAAAATTATTGTGTTTGACTTTCATAAAATACCTATCAGTCCCTAGTACATCACTCAACTTCACATCTATTTAACCGGTAATATCGTTACTGAGTAATTGTCATTCCGCAATATTATTCTCCATTTGATATCCTAGCCACTAGATTTAACCGCATGGAAGCAAATATTGATCCATAACACCAAAATGTAAATATTTATGTATTACTAAATGTTTCCGAAGTTGGCTTTTGGCCGCTTCGCTATTTTGCATTAGAAGAGTGCTCCGCTTCACTGAGCTGCGGGATTCGGCCTAGCTCAGCACATGGAGTTTGTGGAGCACAGAGCCAAAGGCGTTCCGAACAAAAAAGGTTTACATTTCGATCCATCCACTCTATGCATGTGATGAAATTAACCTTAAACTATGAAATGAATGAACTGTTAAAAATGACTGCGGATAGGTAAAGATGTGAAAGATGTGCACCTGCTGCACCGTAATGGGATCGTCCCTGCTACGATTGACAATATAATTTAGCAACGAATCCAGACAATCTCGCACAGCTATATATCCATATAGTTGTACAGAGCTTGTGTTCACAGAAACTTCAGCCAACTTTAATGAAAAAATTTGCATCATGTTACGTGCAGAATGCACAGCACATCTTTCCCGGTCAGGAAAACAATCAGTGGGATCTGATAACATCATTGGCTCCAGTTGTGCTTCATTAAAAAAATTAGATATAGACATTTGTGTTAAGTTCGAAAAAAAATCTCTAATAAATATTTCCATATTTAAAAAATAACAACATAACTGCACTAATCAAAGAAGTGAGGAGCATAAAAGAATAATGCATGGAAAAAGTAAAACTTTCAGGAGCCAAGCCATAAGAATAAATTTATCAAAAGCCAAGCTACAAGAACACATGCTAGAAATTTCATTTCGTGCATGACAAAATGTTAAAAAATAAGTTAAGCTTAGTGGTACTTAATAGAACATCCAAAATCTATCAATTATTCACAATTTTATCATATATCATTTATGTTTTGGTATGAACAAATGACTTTATGTGAGACTTATTCATCTAGGTTAATTTTTAAAAATGAGCAACAATTACTAAGACAAAATATAACGTGTACTAGATGAAAGTGAATAGAAAATTATAAATTTGCTGCAACTACAAAATTTGTTGGAAGTCAAGATGTTCCTAATACCAACACTAATTACATACACAGATAAACCTATAATATCTAGCAAGCCTCTTTTCTTACGATATCACCAATTAGTGCTCACACACAAATCTTATCATTAGCATACATCCTTTATATGATAGAGCTAATCAACTAGCTTATATATAAAAGATGTTGCAATTCCAACAAAGCAACTTCATGAAAAACTTGGACCTCTACTCTCGTGGTGACTCCATATTAACACCCTCCACTAAGAGCATCTACAGCCGGCGCCTCAAACGCCTGGGCGGGCAGACTCGTCAATGACCGGTAAAAAAAAACAGACCCACCTAGGCACCTCAAACCGGCCTCAAACGCCTAGGCTGACCTGACCGGCACCCCTCATATCCAGACCAGATGTAGGGCGGATATGAAGCGACCCGGGAGCGTCCGGATGCATTCGCCACATCCGCCAGCCCACCTCTGGCCCACCATGACCCCACAAAAAAAAACCTCCGGATCGAACCCTAACCTCACTTCACTATGGTCTCCATCTCTTCTCCCCCTTTCTCTAATCCGTCAACTTCTAATCTCTGTTCAGCATGTCCAGCACCGACAACCACTCCGACGGCTCCGGCGACTAGGAAGCGTTCCTCCGTGAAGCGCACGCAGGTGGACACGGGCGACAGCTCCGGATGTGATGCAATGTCGCCTATCGCCCGCGGCCGCAGCGCCGACCTGAGTTGGCCTCCTCCCCCTCCGACCGCTCCTCCTAAAGGGCAGCTATGGGTTTTAGTGCCCGCTCCGCCGGCGCCACGGACACGCACTCCAAAATCGGAGGCGCGCGTCACCTGCTGTGAGAGGCAGAGGGCAAGGGTCGCGCGGCCGCGTCCGAGGAGGTGTCGCAGTCCTCCTGCCGCCGCCGCGAGATGCTGGAGGTACCCGGCAAGGAGCGGCTCCTCATGTGGGTGTACCGCCAATCACTTACGATGCAGAGAGGGACGCCCGCCGGCTCTAGAGGATAAACGCCAAGGAGCTCCGGCTGGGCATTGAGCAGTCCAAGCAGGAGGCGGCGAGGGTGGCGAAGCTGAAGCGAAAGTAGGACCTCATCGTCCGGCACTTGAAGGGCTACATCATCCTCTCCTCTTCCTCCGATGACCCACCTCCTGTCGTGGACGCCTAGAGCAATGCCAGCGACCAAAAAGGGAAAGTGTCGAAGAAGTGGTGAAGCTCCATCGTCTCCGTCTTATATTTCAAGTATTTAGTAATCTAGTTTAAACTTGTCTAATGTTTATGTGGATTATGTGAACTTTGGAGATCTTTTGGTGATTACAATGTGCATTCCGTGTCTGTTTGATGATCTACATGTCCGTTTGATGATCTACTTACTTTTATTCATGTTGCATGCTTTAGTATGGATATAGGGTATCGGATTTGAAATACACGGACGTGGACGCGGCAATTTGAGGATCGCCTGGTCACTGTAAGTGGACACGTCGGCGGACGTATAGGCGCCGGATTTGGCAACCGCGGCTGTAGATGCTCTAAAGCGTCACATGGACATTAAACCACTTATATGACACCTTCTTTTAGGGGAACAAGACCAGTCTACAGATTTTAATCATGCACTATATGTTATTTATCACAAAATTTCTAACTAGATATTTTGAATAGAAGATAGAATATCCTACATGTAGATCTACTTTGTGCTAACCAATTTCACTAGAACAATCAAAAAATTACATTGCATATTTCAAAACAAGAGCATATGCATTCAGCCTAAACTTTTAATCGATGAATCGTACAACTTGTAAAATATCCCAAATTAAAGGAAGGAATACAGGAGAGATTCACATCACTTACTCTCATCACGGTTTGTAACACTGCATATTTTTTGGAGAAAAGAGTTTTTGTATATAGACCCATCGCGATGGGTGCTATTATCAATGATGAAGGACGATCTTACATTGACCTTCTTGGTTTCCTTCCTCATTTTTGCTCTATTCTTCCCTTTGGTGGTCGCAAATTGTTCACTGGGGGTGCAGAAAAAAGCACTGCCACAAGGGAGGTGGCTGGTCTGATTCGGCTTACCCCGATTCGTTTGGCCATGTACTGCAATGTTCCTTGCCATCGCGAAGGGTCCATAAGCAGATCTATCACCAAAGAGCAGCATTAGAATCCGAGCAAAAAAAGATACATACATGCTGTATGCAGGATAGGAATCCAAACATAGTTACCGGATTTAACTCTAGCGCATTAGAAATTTCAAGTCGCCACTACTTATAAACAAATATCAACTCTAATTTCCCCGGATTACGGGTGAGGTTGGGGTAGTCGGTCGCCGGGATGGCCGGATCTGGCGACCAGCCAGCCGAAATCGCGCCAAGGTATCCTCAAAAAAAAAAATTCGCGCCAAGGTCGTGGACGAGATGCGCAAAGCAGGAGGGAGAGGGAGACGCCGTCGCCCGATCTGCAGCACCCGGCCACGGCGCGCACAGCCGCCGCCCACGGCCCTTCGCACCGCCACCAGGAGGCTGCGGACGCGCCGCCATTCGATGTCCTCGGCCCGCGCCGCAACAGATCGGGAGGGGGAAAATGGGAGACCCCGCAACCGCCGACGTTGCACGGGCGTCGCCCGCCAACGCGCCAAGGCGGCGGCGAGGGGAGGAAGGAGGCAGTGGGGGGGAGCGGGGAGTCTAGGGTTCCTCCCACGGACGCTCGCGGGAGGGGAGCTCCTAACAAGATTTCAAACATCCAAATTCCAACGTTTGTTTAAAATAGAGCCAAAGATCTCCAGAACGAAAAACGCACCGGCAAACACGGTCCAGATTCCTCCATGAGCGTAGCATCTCGTCGCGCGAGCTCGGGAAGGCCCCGGAGAGGCGGGGCAGAGGTGAGCTGAGAGACAGGGGGAGAGGGCACCACTTTGGGGATATAAATGAGGCCGCACCGTTGACGCACCGAGCGATCGATTGGGTAGACACCTTTAGTCACGGGGAAACCTATTCGGCGCGCTGGGTGTTCGTATGAGCCGGCCCATTATACGGTTTTTTCCTTTCGTTTTTTTCCTTTCTTCTATTTTCTTTTTTTTTCTCTTTTTTCTTCTTTATTTTTCGATTTTTTGGGAATTTTCTTTTCAAATTTGCGAACATTTTTTGTTAATGGAATGCAAAAAATGTTCATCAATGTAAAAAAATGTTCATCAAATAAAAAATTGTTCATGGAATTCAATTTGTCCATCGGATAAAACAGATGACAAATTGGCAATTGCTTTATAATTTCTGAATTTTTTTCACATTTTCAGATTTCAATTTCACTGGGCTTTAACCTAATTTAAATATATCTTCGAAGTACTTTAAATTTGACTCGATATTTCGGTATTAAAAATAGTTCGAAACCCACAGAAATATGCGAAATTTCGTTTAAATTTTTAACCCTGGCACTGGCCAATAAAAAAATGGACTGTAATAAATTGCATAAGAAGTTGCAATGAGCTATAAATTATTAAAAAAAATAAGGAATGGTCTGACTTATGGGCCTATTAAGTTGACGCGTATGCAATATTTTTTTACTTATTATACATGTCAACAAATGATTCTAGCAGACGTAACCGTTGAATGTCAATCCAACGGCCGTCGTGTTTCTTCAATCTCTGATCTTGATTCACGCTGGTGTTCTCGGTATGACGTGGTCAACGTTGTTAACAAACGACAACATCGGAAGAGAGATGTACATGGAGAGGCTGACAGTTGGGACCCACATGGTCCATGGCCGCACGCAAGCAAGTACCTCCTTATTACGTCAAAAAGAATGAATGCTCCCAATGACAGCTCGGACCCACCAGCTATATCTTCGCATGCAAGGAAGTGCCTCCTTATTATGCATAAAAAGATGAATATTCCCCCTGCTAGTTGGGACCCACCATAGTGGGAGGCTGACTTGTGGGCCTACTAAGTTGACGTGGACGGAGGGCTTTGTCAACTTAGTCAACAAACGATTGTATCACCAGTGACCGTTGGATTGTTAACATCCAACGGTCGTCCTGCTTCTTCAACCTCTGATTTTTTTGTTCCAGTCGTCCAAAACACCGCGTGCTCTTGCCTCCCGTGGCCGGCTGTGTTGCCGCGGAGGCCTCACCGCCCCATACTACTCCCACCGCTGGCCAGGTCATCCCTCTACTCACACACACCCCCTGTTATTCTGCGGTGACGGTAGCCTCACACCGCAGCTGAAAACCAGTCAACCCTCGTACTCCTCTTCGCGTCGGCATCCATTGTCGCGTCTTCCCCGGCTCTGCGTCGTCCCCTTCCTAGGCCTCGTCGTCGTCCACCGCCTTGGTGGTCTTGCCACGGCGTGGTCAATGTGGTCAAGGAACGACTTCCAACGGAAGAGTACTGTTTGTGGAGAGGCTGACAGCTGGGTCCACGGCCGCAGCAAGGAAGTGCAACCTTATTACGCGCAAAATAATGATTCCTCCACCTGACAGCAGGGACCCACCGAACGGGTCACCATATTTCATAAAAAATGTTTCCCCCTGACTGATGGGACCCACCAGCTACATCTTCGCACGCAAGGAAGTGCCTCCTTATCCTCCGTGACAGTCGGGGCCCACCTGGTCGAAGCGTACGTAGTGTTGTCATTCTGGTTGCGAACATGTACGTACATATTGGTCGATCGGTCTGTCTGCAGGCTGCGGCGATGAACTGTGGCCGAGTAAGGAAGGGCACGTGTCGTAGTAGAGGCGCGCACGTAGCATGTCACGCAGTCCCGTTAATATCGTGTACACGTACGTACAACCAGGGTGCAAGAAAGTAAATACGGCCACGTACGTACATACGGGAGGGGTCTTGAACGCCTACTCGCGCATACGTACGGCCATGGCTCGTGTACATGGAGAGGCAGTGACAACGTCTTGTTCATCGGCAGCCAACCAGCTGGGTCGGAATGGAGGAAACAACGTCGTGTTCATCGGGAGCCAAGTGACTGGGTCGGAACACGTCCTGTTCATCGGGAGGCAACAGACTGGGTCGGAATGGGTCGTGTTCAATGGGAGTCTACTGGCTTGGACGGAACAACCAAAACGGGGTCTGGCATACCGCAAAACAGAGGAAAACAGCCTTGTGTTCGACCGCGTACGGTCGAAACATGGTCCCGTTCATCGGGAAGGGTCTGGCGTACCATAAAACGGAGGAAACGTACTTGTGTTCAAGCTTCTACGGTTGAAACGGGGTGCTGTTGATCGGGAGGGGGTGGCATACCGCAAAATGGAGGAAACATACTTGTGTTGGAGCGCTTACGGTCGAAATGGGGGTCATGTTCATCGAGAGGGGTGTGGCGTACCGCAAAACGGGACTGCACGGGCTACTATTCATCCACCGTCTACTGCCTCGCCGCAACCTCCACGGGCTACTGTTCATCGACCGTTGACCTCCTCCACCTGCAACTGTTCATCTACGGCGTCTCCCTCCTGCCTCCACCAGCTAATGTCATCCACGGGCTCCTATTCATCCAGCCTCCACCGCTCCTCCACCGGCTACTGTTCAACTAGCCCTCTCCACGGGGTCATGTTCAACCACTCCTCCACGGGCTACTATTCATCCAGCCCTCCACCGGCTACTGTTCAACCAGCCCTCCACAAGGTCATGTTCATCCACCCCAACTAGCTCGATCGGGGTCATGTTCATCCAACGGCAACGACCTCTACTACCAATGGGTCCTGTTCATCCAACCCCCAACAACGCTCACTGTTCATCAAGAGGCAGCATGTTCGATTGGCTTCAGTTAGCAACAGTAGCGAAGGAATCGCTTGATCGGGTTTAGTTAACAGCCAGATCGATCAATCGCTCGGATTCAGTAACGCGTAGCCTGCAGTGCAATCATTCGGGTTCAGTAGGCGAACGCCTCGCTCGGGTTCAATTAGAGCTCAACGCCTCGCACCCATGCGCGTACGTGTACGAGAGAAATGTGCAATCCCTCTGTGCATCGCTCGGCCCTGACCACCCATCATAACCAGGAACTCTGTGATATTTTCCTCGCCCTCGCTTCTACCACGATTTTTTTCGTCATGGACAGCCCAAAGAATGTCATGCAGCTGCGTCTCCGGCCTGCCCAGGACGAAAAGCCCATTTTCTGTCATGATTTTTTGTCATAGAAGTAGGATCCCACCACATCTATGATGATACTGAGTTTTGTCACAATTATCATCATAAAAGTGTGATAAGCATGATAGGGAAAAAATTTGTTCGGCCCAAAATGTCACGGATGTGTCTTTTTTGTAGTGGGCGCACCTTCCCCAGGGGGGTGGCGGAGCCCTCGGTCACCCCAGAGAACGGCCTGGTGGGCATGAGCTGGTCATAAGGCACTTGAAGCATGTCGACGGTCTCCACTGAGAGGACATTGAGGCCGGCACCGCCGTCAATGAGGGTCTTAGTGACAGAGACATTGCTGATGGTGGGCGAGCACAACATGGGGATGCACCAACAGCAGCCACATATCTGGGGTGGTCCCTGGAGTCGAAGGTGATGACAACCTCGGGCAGCGCGCTGCTCCGTGAGGCCTCGGGCTGAGGCCTAGCGGGGTTCACTTGGCTGCTTGGCGTGGAGACCAGATGCAGGCGCCTGGGACCCACCAAGGATGCACGTGACCGCGTGGGGCCCTGGAACTGCGAAATGCATGACGAACCGACTGCGGAGCTCTCCCCAAGAGGACACCGAGGCCTCTGGGAGGCTGCGGAGCTAAGAACGTGGAACCTTCGTGAGGGCTAGAGGAACCAGTTCGCCATGGCTTTGTTGGCGCCGCCCGCCGCCTAGATGCCCTGGGCATACAACCGGAGGAACTCCTTAGGGTCGGTTGCGCTATCATAGCGTGGAGGTAACATCAGCTACTGCACTCGGCACAGGTCAGGAGTGAAGGCCGGGCAACCCGCGGCGTTCCCAGGAACAGCAGGATCAAACGATGTGGCGGATGGCGTCGGCCATTGGGGTGATGCAGCAAGGACGGAGCAAAGCGGAAGGAAGAACTTTGATAGTCCCCCTACCTGGCGCGCCAAATGTTGGAATCGAGGCTCCGCGGACCCAAACAAGGTTCGAACTCTGGGGCGTGAACGAAGGATCCCGCCTAGCTACAGCTTGTTGCTCACCACCCCACGGCTTGGCTCCGTCGAGTTCGAGCGAGCGGGGAGAAGAAGTGAACACGGTGATTTACCCATGTTCGGGTCACCTTGCGGTGTAAAACCCTACTCCTGCTTTGTGGTGGATTGCCTCGCGAGGAGGATGAGGATGAACTAGTACAGTGGATGAGCTACCTCGCGGGGGCTCTTGAGTTTCGTAGGCATTTAATGTCCATAATTCAAATCTGAACTACAAATACACGCTCCAGTGCACCAAGATGGCTAGAAAAATCATACACGTGTCCTTCGGTGCATGTTTAGGTCCCATGCAAGGAATGGAAATGAATTACAACCGTCTCGGCATCCTGACTCATCCTCAAACATTGGGAATCTCGATTTTTAAATCCCCGTAAATCCAAAACTCACCAGAAAATCATGAAAGTTGGCATGGTGTCACGACATGGCACATATATGCCATGGTAAAAAAATATCCAATTTGGGTCAAGCTTTATTACAAATCCCTTACAAAATGGAGCCTCCTCGCAAGAACCATCGTGGTTTTGATAGGGAAATGTGTCCCCCTTGTGGGCAAAATGATAATCGCTCCCTCTCCTTGCCTTGCATTTTCTTCTACAGGCAACATGGAATAATGGGAGGTTCCTGTTGAACTTTGTCACACCCTAGCTAGTTCATGCATTAGAGTGTTGCATCATGTCTATTCTTTCATCAGAAACCTGAAAT